ACCCTCCCCGGGGCAATTGTGGAAATCCCCCCTCCCCCTCCATGTTTTAAGCGAATAAGGAATTGATTTGTGAATGAAAGAAAGCAGAGCTTCTTAGGTAGATGACTATTTGACCTTACCTTAAATTGATTATGCTAGTGGAGATAAACCCGTGCAACGTTTCACACACAGGCCTGCTTGGCAACCTTGATTCCAATCAAGGGTTGCATTGCAGTGGCATGCATTAAATGCTATCTACAGGTCTCAGATGAGTGTGACTAATTCCTCGTGCGACTTGATAGGAAGCAAGGGGATCCTCAAGGGGGAAAAGTTGCGAGAGGGAGAGGGAACAATCAGGGGTGGACGAAGGTCTGTCCTGTACCTAAGTATACCATGTACGACTTGGTGGATGATGCTAAATTCGTGGATATACCGAGTTAGTAAAGGGAGTGAGTGGTTTAGTCGCGAAGTAGTCGCGGTCAGTGTCATGAATAGTCTCGGCTTCATCGGCACTTGAGTCATGTGTTAAGTCCGATTGGCCCCGTAACAATGTACAATGCCATCCATACACGCCTCTTACCCTATCCTCTCAGGTATACATGAAGTGTTTGTTTGGACAGCAGATAGTAGTACTAACTCCTATATTAATATTAATCACAACACTGTAGCTTAGTGTAGAGCTAAGTTACATTCGAGGGGGACAAAGCTTGGTTGTCTTTTGTTGGCTGATAATGTGGGACAAACTTGCAGGGATGCTCGCTCGACTCAGGCTAAATCAACGGAATGAACCAGGTAGAATCCCGGATGACTATCGTCTTCCTACCATGACTATGTACTAGGTTTATCTTGCTGGAAAGGTGTAAGTAGCACCGAAGTATCGAAGCCTTGGTGCTTTGTACTACCGCCGGCGACGAGGAAGTGTGATATCAGTCCATGCTGGTACCGGATGTACCTTGCCTGGACCGTCACTGTGTGTTGCCATCACTTTCTCTCTGCGGACCGGTATCGACAGGCATTCTGCAGGTGATATGTACCCTCCACCGCCATACCCGCCAGATGAACTTATAAATAAGAGTTTGTTGGTGGCTCTTACAAAAGCTACCGTGCAACGCTGCTGTGGCACGTCCACCATTACTGATTAGGGCTACACAATCTGCTGCAAAATCCATTGCTTGCCTGTCCTGCAATGATCAACATCATCACTATCCGTGCAGATGTGATTTAGGTGACCTCCCCTTCTCACCTAGCCATATTACAAATTTTATGCTTGAATTAACTACCTGTTTTCATAGTCCAGCCATGTGAGACATCAGCTGCAAAGCGACACCTGTTCTCCTGACTCCAACCACCCTCCCCGATGCTGCTTGGCCTCAAGTAATCTCCTCGTCTCTAAGTGGACCGGCCAAGGAGCCAAGAGAAATTGGTTACCATTCAACTGACGTTGCTGGCGATACGCTTATCGTGAGCACTAGCGTCATTGTAACTTGCATACCAGTGATTAGGCAATTTTATTATTTTTATTTTTATTTTTATTTATTTATTATTTTTTTTTTTCTTCTTGGGGGCCTCGGTTTTGATGGTAGCCTGAGCGGCAGTGCCGGATGTTCAATGTTGAATGGGGCAACCAACCAATATCAGATCAATCAATCATATTCGTCACAGAACAGAAATAAGTTAGGGTAGGCTGTGTTGATACAAGCAGCCTCGGGTCATTCATGGATTGATTCTCATTCTAAAATCTTTTGAAAAAAACAAAAAAATAAACCCAAAAAATCCTTCATAAGAAGGATGAAGAGAAAAGCCCAGTCATATACCTCACATCACATTATATATGTACAAGAGCAAGCTGATGTACAGCACAAGCCCCCCAATCCGTACTATGTATAGTAAATAAGCAAGGCCAAAGCTCGATCCTTCGACTGCGCCCGCCAACTTTATCTGCGACCCCCGATCAACGTGACTGGACGATAATTTCCGGCACTATAGTGTTCGCAGTCCACACCACAATAATAGAAATCCAAGAAGGAAAGTCTTATGAGAGAATTGTAGATATGATTAAATGATAAGTAAAGCGGCCGGGTCTTCCGGTCTGTGCCTTACGTGGCATTAGGTTGCATATGACTGCTCACCTTACCTCGCCCGAATCATGTTCTAAAACACAAAGAAAATAAGAAATGAAACCTCTATGCTTGTAATTGCTAAGGTGGCTTCAATGGTTTGTTTTTGTTCCCCCCTTTTCCTTTTTCTGTTTCTAATAAAGTAACCTCCTCCTCTTCGGGGTTTGGATAAGATTCGTCAAGCTTCTGATAGTTTGGTTACGATTAGGTGGTGGACTATGTATGTACGTACATCATCGTACAGATACAAACGGACCTGTCGGAGGGGAGAGGAGGGGAAATGCATTAAATGAGCCAGCCACTAGTAGCCGTGGACGATGAACATGCAGGTGGGCTGAGTTTTCAGCTAGGCAGGTGTCTAAATTCGATACTATATTGGAGTCCCATCGAGGAGTTACCTAAAGAGGCCACCATTACGGGCGGATAATTTATTTTAGGTTGATGTTCGCTCTGTGCACACAGCTAAGATCCTTGTTTTATGGCTAGTTTCATGCGGACAAATTACACGAGTTGGAGTTGAAGTCCGAACACCTTCCAGTTCTATCGTAGTTTGGTTGAGTTAGTGTGCACCTTTCCATTTGAGTTATAGATTACCTATCCTGTATAGTTGACTGATTCATTAACCCTATCCTATCGGATCTGTTGAGGTGGAGTTTATCGGCTTTCTTTCTTCTTTTCTTTTATTTTCCTTTTTTTTTTTTTTCTTTTTTAAATTTATTATTTCTCGAGGAAGGCACGGGCAACACTTCACGATATCATATAAGTACAAAGAGTATCAACTTGATAAAACTCTCCAAATCCTGTGGCTTGGGCAATTACGAATACGAATCTAATCGCCACGGTGGCTGTTGTCATCTGCCGGGTTCCGGTCCCGATATGAGAAAAAGCACAGCATCTTTAAACCATATATTAGATTAAAGTGTGTCGCATCGAAGGCGGCGACCATTTGGGTATTTGTTCGTTTTTTTTAATTTGGTCATATTATTTTATTTTAAAAATTTTTTTTCTCTGTTCCAAATTAGAGTCCGCCGTGGACGGCAAAACGGCAAAGCCAATGTCGTCAGCCTTGGCCATTGAAGGGTCACTTTCGGGCTGAACCGCTGCACAACCCCGGGGAGAGTTTAACCCTATTTTGCATAACTGCATAATTTGACTGATTGGGAGTCGGCGATTGGCTAGGTGGGGTGATACATAAGAGTAGCATAATCAAACCCAAGGATAGTAGATTAAAAATTGAAACCCAAAGGCCACCTCCATTTGGAACAAGTGGAACCTCGAGGGGGCCTTTTTTCTAAGCGAGCTTAAGGTTCCTCGTGTTGGATTAAGCTTAAGCTTCAGAAAGTCGCGCACTAATCACTTTTTGGATGGGATCAAGCGATCAGAGCGCCACTGGTATCTTTCTAGTGTAATACCGTCTTATGATGAGTTATTGATTGTTATGCGAATGTTACTTGCTTTGGACAACTTTTATTGGCCTCTGGTTTATCTCTCAGGACTTAAGGAGCTGGGTTTATTCGGAGGAGATTTTAAATTTTCCTTTTCCTGTTCTTTTTTTTTTTAATCCCTTTTTTGATTATGTTTATTAGGTGATCGTTTCCCATTTCCTCTTTTCTGTTTTCATCGATCGCACCTGTCAAGGTAATTTTTTTTTTTTTTTCCTTTTTTGCGTTTCAAGGCAAAAGCCGAAACTTGGAGCCAAGAAATACAAAGACTTTGCCAAGCTCTTGTCCTTCTTGTCTTTAATCAGAGGCTAGATCAATGGAGAATATTGATCCCGTGCAGCATTCCTAAACTGGAATGAACATCTGGTATGTAGAATTAACCATAAGCACTATTTCGGAAAATCCATCTTGGGGGCGCTTCTTTACTTGGAAGAGAAACAAGTTGGAAGGATAAATAAATAAATACATGACGACAGCGCCCCGACGAGAGAAAGATAATATTAATTAAAATCGGAAAAAAAAAAAAAAGGATTCAAGTGTAACCGTAATAAAGCCTTCCAATTATTAGATCCAGTATTACACCATTATACACATACCCATGTCCCATCACCAAATATTACTACTATCAAGCTTAGTTTAGAATGACTCCACAACCCAACTTACTTTCTTTTTTTGGTTTTGATCACCCTTCCACATTGTACTGGGATCATCCTCTCTGGAACTGAGGAACGGGGGGAGGATGGATTAAGGTCAGGGTTTCCATTTAGCCCTATCAGCTGAGATGAAAAGACCAGAGAAAAATAAACAAAGTTCATCAAGTAATAATATTATGAATCGATGATCAAATTATAAGATGTTGGGTAGTAACAGTAATGAATGATTCAGTCGTTCCCGCCAAACGAGGTCATGTCCGCCTCTCCTCCCCCACGAACCATGGAAGAGCGACTATGGAAAACATAAAGGTTAAAATCAAGGTTGCCATTTATTCAGAATTTACTTTTTGAATTTTTGCCCTCTACCACGCCCAGGCTACTGTCTCAAGGGCATCAGATGAATTGATTTGCCGCGGTCCTTTGTGCTTTACCCACACTTTGTCTTCTGATGGCTTCTCGGCATGACCAACGCCTAGAGGTCCAAGCCATCCCCATCGGTCATTCAAAGGTTTTGCTTGGTTCTGGATTTGATTACTGACTGTCATGGACCCATGAGACAAGACAAGAAGGAAGGAAGGATGAAGAATCGAGAAAATCAAAATTAAAATCCAAAGTTAATAATGGGGGTTCAGAATACAATATAATACATAAGAAAGAAGTAATACATTTACTCTTTCTGATGGGGAAATAGACTAAAATAAAATATTCCCTCAAAAATGCAATAATAAATAAAAAATACGAAAAAAAGAAAATAAATAATTAAAAAAAAATCCATTAAAAAATATTAAAACAACCCTGTGGGGTCCAGAGTTGCAAAGGCTCCACTCTATCTCTGATACTCATGCTTTAATGCCTCCCTTTGTCTTCGTTTCGTTTTCTTTTACATACTCTTTACTACCTCACTGCTACGGTTATTCTACTACCTACCTATTCAAATCTGTTTGGAACTTCTTCTTCCTTTCTTCCCCTTCCTCCCCAATCTTCCAATCCACCAACTACCGTCCTTTCATTGTTCAGGTTCTTTTTTACCGAACCCGTGTCTTTTGTCGCTTCTCTAACACACGACGATTCAGGTGAGTAATTTATGGATCTCTTATTTATTTTCTTTTTTCTTTTCTTTTCCCTCCCTGTCCCGTCCCTGTCATGTTCCAAATGTATCCTTGTCTCATAATCTTAATGACTCGGTCCGCTTGCCTGCATTCTTCCTTTATTCTCCTATCAACCCTCCCCACTCCCCTACTTCCCCTTCCTTGCTGCCTTGACTTTTTTTCTACATTCCATCCCCCTCCCCCCTCTTCCCTTTAATCCTTCACACCGAAATCGCGAGTGATCAGGACCTCCCGTGGGCACAGATGAAATACTAATATCAATCCTCCCCAAGATTCCCACCGAATATTCTTCACCGGCGGTGGACTGCTCACAGGATCGGACGTGACTTGCCCTCCCGTGAGCCGGTCCCCATTTCCGCTTTAGGGAACTATACTCGTGGATCGCCCCCAATTCTCTGACAGGAGAAACGTCACTAAATAAAGAAACAAGACGGGCTCAAAGGAGGCATTGCTCCCCAGTAGCCAGCAGCTCAATTCTATCAACATTCCGTACCTCAGTAAACAGCCTACCCTGGCGTTGAAGCCTACGACCATCACGGGGTCCTACACAGATCACCGAAGGTGGATGGAGACGTATCACGGCCACGTCCGCACGCCGGCGGACGCTATCATCCTCTTCGAAGCATGTCGCATTGGCCTCCTGCCCCGCGTACAGAGACGATTGTCCGAGAAAGAACGCCAGTTAATACGCTCCGGATCGGTCTTCGTGTGGGATGAGCGGGAAGCGGGGATGCGTAGATGGACGGATGGGAAGTCCTGGAGCGCTAGTCGCGTGTCGGGAAGCTTTTTGACATATCGTGAAATGGAGGGCAAGCGAGGGGGAACAGGCGTGGCGCAATCCACCATGTCGCGAGCGGGCAAAACTCCCGAGAGTCGAGGGAGTGACGATGACCGGGGGGACGGCGCAGATGAGGGTCCAGATGGCTACAGATATAAGCCGGACGGTCTGATGAAGCAGTCTTTCAGCATCACTACCTCTACTGGGCAACATCTCCATCTCATCAGCTACTACTCTAGGTCACATCCCTCCGCAGCCAACCTTCAACAACCATCCACGGATCCCGCACTGCGTCATGTTCGTCCGCAGAAAGGTCTGTACCCAGAATCTACTGTCAATGATCAACAAAATCTGCCAGTAGTGACACGCGGGCCAATGGCTGGAGCTACCTACTCGGTACCACCCCATCCAATGGGCGCATATGCCCGCTCGGGAGCCACGCATCCTCAGTCATACACTCCGTCATACGCATGGCCACCGACCCCATTAGCTACCCCGCCAACCGTCCCGGTCCATTATGCTTCGTCGTACCTCCCGCCGGTATCGGGAGCGAACGGTCATGTGCCGCCATATGCTCACCATCAACCACACGCCTTGCCTCCCCCACCCCCTCCACAACCGTTGGGAACACCTTATGAGCGACCGGTGCATCCAGTTGAGGCATTGGCCCCGACAATACAAGCTCCGAGCGTGCCGCATCCGTCTCTACCGATCATTGCAAATGGCCGGTCACCGCGGCTGGTCGCAGATCCCCACGAGGTTCATCAGCGCAGTCCCCAAGAATACGGACCAGTGGACCTTCGAAGGGCGTCTCCACGCACACAACCACCGTCAATCCCCCCCACTTCCGGGTTGGTTGCGCGAAGCCCACGCTTGTTGACTCAGGCTCCTTCAAATGCGGTACACATCTCTCCTCCAGCCACTACCATTAAACCACCAGAACCCAGCAGCTCTGGCACAACTGTGCCTAGTATTGGAGCTCTGATGAACGGCACGCCAGCTAGTGGCTCGTTGCCATCGATCACCGCGCCGTCAACGGGACGAGCCGAAGGGCCGCGCGATATCCCCAGCGAGAAGATTGGGTTCGGGGGAGAGGACATGCGGGCCCTCCGACAATTAGACCGGGTGTTTACTGCGTGAACGTGACCGGGGATTCCTTTCATCTCCCTACCTTCCGATACTCCACACCCTGCACCTTGCACATTACTCCATCATTCCTTAGCACCTGCTTTTTTTTTTTTTCTTAGCTCATTGTATGAGATGTATCCGTTCGCTGTTATCTAAAAGAGATATGGAACGGTCATGACGATCTTGCTTTGTTATTTATCGTGGTTTTGGGCAGGACCGGCGTTGTTAAAGAGGGTGCATCATAAAGCATGGGTGGGGTCTTTTGCTTTTTGTCTTCCATTATGGCTTGTCTATTTCAGATTCCCGAGGCCACTGTTTTCATGGCATTTGTTGATATACGCTTTGGGACTAGCCTTGGCTGTGGTTAGGATGACTCGATATACCAATTGATCATGTTGATGATTGATTATTTCGGTTGAGCTTACTGTATCCATGTCAAACGTGTGTAAAAATCTCCCCTGTACCATGTACATAACTATCCATGGGATACATGCAAATAAAAATCTGAGCATGCCACCGTTAAATCAACACTATACATCCGTTACATTTGGTACAATTGGTATTAGAACTAAATCTAAAAATAACTCAACGTTACACTCCCAACAAGTCCCCTGAAAACCCATTGACTAATTACCCAACCCCGTTTCCAGAAAGCAATTAAAACCTCTATAATAACACGCCCCATTATACCTGCATACAATGCAAACCCCCCTCTCATACATCCTTTCCCCTGGGGTCGGGCTGCGGAGATGCATCCCGCTCCGGTTGCACAACATACTCAATCTGATCCAGCGGCGACTCCGAACCATCATCCCCCATACTCGTTGCCTGCCGCGTCATAATGCGGGGTTCCTCCTTGTTCAGCTCTGAGATCCCCACGACTCTATCCCCGCTCTGCTCTTGCGGTTTGATGATCCCCATCTCGACATACCGGGCCATATCCTCCCTGTCCCGGTCTATCGGGGATCCCCGACCTGTAATCTCCCTCGCAAACGAACGCAGTCGTTGCTTCTTCCACCACGGTGGATTCCTCTGTCCGATACCCACGTCGCTAGCTAATCCGGATTCTAGTTCCCCGCGCTGCGCGATAAGTGCCTTGTCTTCGTTTAGCTCGCAGTAGCCGCAGATATTGAAGATGAGAATGATGAGTAGGGCGGGTGTATAGCCTAGGCCGTAGATCCAGCCGGACTGAACGTCGTATTTCAGTGGCGAGACGGTCCAATCGAAGGCTGAGGCGATGGCATAGCCGATTTTGATCCCAAGGATGGCGATGGCGAGGAGAAATTGGGAGGGTGCGGCGTTTAGGTAGAAGAGGAGTTGGCCGCCTGTGCTTGATGGGCGGGGCTTGTACCGGTAAATGCTGTGTTCGAGGCTGTAAGTTATCACCAGCATGCCGGCGAGGGCTACGAACCCTGCTGCGCGCCAGCGGGTGTCTGTTGCCACTGGGCGGGCGTTGATGGTTTGCTGTTCTTCGCTGCGTTGGAGCTCGATTGCGGACCAGCTGCGGGGAACGGTGAGGATGAAGTTTAGGAGGGCGAGGATGTAGAAGAGGATGGGGAGGAGGATTTCCTGCCATTTGCGTGTGCTGGTTTTGGTGAAGGCGTAGGGGTCGCGGTCGTGAATTTGGCGGGCCTGCCAGCTTGCCCTGTGTTTTTTTTTATCTTTGTTAGTTGGTTGATTACTTGGGCTGGGTGTGTTGAAGGGGAGTTTACCAGTGTCGGACGGCTTCCCAGACTGCGGCCATTAAGCCTGGTGTTAGGAGGGTGTAAAATACGCTTTGGAGGATTAAAGGTGCGCTTTGGAGGTAGTTTCTATCGACGTCGATGCTCATGAAGCAGCTGATGGCGCCGCAGACGGCGACGAATATGAGCCAGCACCATTTTAGTCGTCGGCTTACGATGTTCCAGCGGCGATCGTGCGGTAGGTAGCTGCGGCCATGCTTGCGGAGGTTGATGAGACTAAGGAAGATGGTGATGACGAACATCAGGGCATATGCTAGACCGAGGGACGCATGTTGGCCGATATCATTGATGGGCGCGTAGCACGATGTTCCGTTGATGAATGTGCCGTTCTCAGCGAACATGTGAGGTCTGAATCGCTGGAAGGCTAGGAAGCAGTTCGTGCCATTGGATAGTGTCCCGTTGGTGTAGAGCCTGTAGTTGTAGGTGTCTAGCGCGGTTCGATTGAAGTGAACTTCGTTGATGATCACATCGGTGCCGTTGTCACCTGGTTGGTAGGGGGCTAGCCCCCTTATGTACAACAGCGTCATAATGAATGAGTTGTACCTTTACAGCCCGTCAGTCGCTACAATTTCCTCTGTACGACAGCTCAATACCGCGTTCTCATCGCGGGCACCGTTGGCGGCAATTGCGCCTTGACAAGGATAGGACACATAGTAACAAGTTTCGAGCAGCATTATTGCAACCGCGGAAGACCCGGAGTCGGATAGAGGCTATGACGAGCGATGAGGTCGCACTCAGGGCACAATCTATGATGCGCAGAGTGGTTCTGCGTTCCAAGGAGGAGACCTAATCGGATCCGCGGTTCAGGATCGTATAAATTGACACATACCGTACCACAGGCCAGCCACAAGGAACCATAAATAAGCTCCGAAAGGGAACCATGTCTAACTTCTGTTCAGTGATTGCAGTTTGTAGAAATTTCTTACCTTGTTGGGAAGTGGTGAAGTCCATTCATGATCTACATGTGACGAGAGTGTCTTATCGATAAGATCAACGATAAGAGGAAATTCTCCTTATCACGATGCTTACGTAATGCCGGTAGAGTACTATCCCGATCGGGGATAAATCAACACTACAGGTCACAGGGAATCCCATTCTCTCCTCATGCACCACGGAGAAACTAGAGAATGCAACAGAAACACTCTCTAGAGAAACGCCTACCCCTGTCGAAATGATATCAGATGATAGGCAGACGACATATGAGACATCACATGGCCCCGAGCACACATCCCTTCTCCACCCCGCGCGAGGGAGCTGCACTTTACGACCCCAGCATGCATATCATTGCGACGTGTGGGAAGAGGACAAGCTGAGGATCATCGATTTGCAGGAGCACAGCCGGCTCGAAATGAGGCATTTCCTGGTATGCGGGTGATTGTCTGTCAACTGCCGGGTCCAGGGTCAGCCACCTTGTCTTTTTTCTTTTTTTTTTTTCTGGGTTACGGAGGTAAATGCACCCATTCCATACCCCAGACCAAGTTCATGCTCAGCATGATTCGGCCGTTTCACGATCCCACGCCGAATACGAACCTTAACTCAATTCAACTAGTGAGAATCATGATTGAAAAATGCATAGGTCACTAATTGTTTTCTTTTTCTTACTCCTTTTGTCCCTTGGCATTCGTCGCACCGCTCCTGTCTGTATGTGGCGTTGCCTCTGTTTGGATGGACAAGGGTTCTCTACCTATCTCTAGGGTGATGACTTGGATCGTATACAAATACATGCAAACAGGGAATTGGTATCCTCATGCAAGGGCAGGCGTTCTCTTTTTATTCATTGGAGGAAACTGGTCACCTTGAAGAAATACGGTTTGAGTAACGCTGCTTCGTATAGGACATTCGCCAGTGACACCCTTATTGCTTGCATGTGAATAAACTACAGTGGCTGCGTGTAAGAATTGGGGAGAGGGACTCTACACTCTGAGGTCGCAACTTGGGGATTTAATTGTCAGCTGTCAGCATCTATATACAAATGAAGCTAAGAGGGAAAGACAGAAAGACCCATGATATGACGTAGCTTGATCTATTTCCCGAGATATGAAATCTAGGGTCGAAGTGTAATGCACGGATGGTTGATAGAGAACATGTCTGCTCCTTGTTCCCACCACACTTGAAGCTCAAGTGATCCACCTACAACCCTGAGACATTATGCTTGAACATATCAAACCTTGTAAGAGTATACACCAATTGATACCTCATTCTGGGAACTGGCGATGACAAAAACTAAACCAGATAGTCAGGATGGTAGAGCAATACGAAGCAAGTTAACCCTGAAGCATGCTTCTCCCCTTGCGACAAGACCCTACCTTTGAAAAAGCAAAACAGATATACAATCAGAGAAGTAGTAAGCCTTCCACTGTTGACTAGAAATGTAAGCTATCCCCTTGATGAGCACACGCCAGTATACTTGATTTGGTCCATAACATAATAGCCTCAATGAAAACTCGATCCATAATCCGGACATTTTCAGGCACAGTCCACAATCTGATCTATCCAGTCAGAGGCAAGATATTACCAAGTAATTACATACTTCACCCTGCCATGCGGCATTTACCATTCAGGCCAAGCGTGGTCATGGTATACAGGAGGCATACCACCAGCATTTGGCCAGGATGTGGTATGATCCCAAAGAACCAAGGCAACGATGTACCGAGATCCTGTAGATTAAACAAGGCTATAGATCGATCTACTATACACGGAGTCGGCGGTTCACATACGAGAACCTTGCTCCAAGAAAGTATAGACCAGGTTATTCAAGTCTTGTAGCCCTGCCGCATCCTCATTACTTTCAAAACAATAGGTTATGCGTCCTGCAACATACCCACACTACTACTACTACTACCAAGCTCTATCGTGTGCCAAAAACCCCTGGCTCAAACCCGGTTTATTTTCTCAAATCACTCCCCCCCTGCCAAATGCCCTATGATGTCATGTATATTCAAAGCTGACCGTACCATTTTAGTAATTGAAACCTGGCATAATGCTTCTGACCCCAAAATAATGGCCTTATTGTGGATCCGTGAGAGATCCTCTCCCAAGTTGAACTGACTCCCACGGCAGACACTCGACATCCATTCGCGGGCGTGATATGAAACAGGCAGATCGGAATAGAAAAGCGATGATTGGCGATTAGGCTATGCTAGAATACGGGGGCGGCCACGAATCCCTAAGAACAAAAAAAAAAAAAAAATGAAAAGAATATAGGGATGCACAGTACTTTTACTAGAATACTTTTGGTGCCCAACAGCTTTTTGTCATTGTGCGTGTTTTGACACGCTTATTTCTGATGGATGGGGTTTTTAAGGCACCTTTAGGTAGGATTTTATACCGGTGTGGTTTGTTCCAGACCGATTTTTTATTTTTTCATTTTAACTATGAGTCATGTTCTGGGTATGTGCGACGACTTGCACTGGAGGGAAAAATGAAGTTGACGATCAAACGCCAATTAACGAACGGGGAGTAAGAAAGATGTTCTTGACAGACATGATCGTCCAGTGGGAAGATCGTAATCGACTATTTTGGGTTCTGTGAGGTCGGAGTATTCTTCCAGATATCCAGTGAAATTGGTCAATGGCAACGAAAGGTGGGTCTAGGTCGTGGCCTAAATTATTTTAGTCATTGATTATCGTCCGGACTGGAGAGCAGAGCCCTGTGGATTTATTTTGTGCTACTACCATTTTCGTTCTGTCCAAGTCGGAAGAGAGAGAGAGAGAGAGAGAGAGAGAGAGAGAGAGAAGGATTGCAGATGTGCTGGGGACTCGTTGGGCCTTTCCGTGCATTGAAGTTTAAATAAATCTTACCCCGCAGTCGAAAGAAATATTTGTCTGATCCATGGAAGAGGATATCTTATCCTTGTGGAGACTCTTTCCCATAATGTTCTACTATATCAGAGACATACTATAGTGAAGAAAACGAGACAACCTATACAGTATGAGCATAAAACATGTAGCTTGTTAGTTCAATTATGCTTCGCATAAGGAATGTCGGCTCTGTCCGAAGTTACCCTGAGCTACGATGTATGTTTCTTACCTATTTCTATTCAGTTTAAGCCCCAGTGGAGTCCACACCCAACCAACACTTGCTATGTATGTACAGTAGTATGTACATCCCACAAGCCCACGATTCATGCGTCTCCACATCACCCAGAAACAGAAACCCCAACCATCTTCCCTCCCCAAAGCCACCGCCAACCGCATCCACCGTCTTTCTTACCCAACCGGGATAGTTCCAAGCCTCACTTCCCATGCGGACGTGCACAGAAAGAAAGCGACCGAACACCTTAGAAAGAAACTAAATATGTGGTAAATTATGGGTAAAAAAAAAAAAAAAAAAAAAGGGATTTAAGGTCACTTAGACTTTCCCCCGTCAGTAAATCGCGCCATCAGGTCCGCTTTTGATAGGCTCGGCTTCGGCTCACTTGCCCCTGTGGTTTGTGACGGACACGAGGTCATGTGGTCTGATTCGTGTCCTCGGGCGGTTCGGTACGAGGCATTACTCAGGTACAGTACATACCCATATTGCCTGAATAGTAAATGCTCTACTCGGTCCTAGAAGACGTATACAACCAAACAGCAAGGAAAGCTACAAGCATGAACAGCTCACCAGGGCGTAGAAGGACGGGGAGAGACTACTACTCAGTGTAATACCACAAACACTTTATCAGCCACTCACCAGCAATAAATCTCGATAGCAACCGAGTTCACGCATAAGGTGATATTTAATCAGTATACTTCCTTCTTCGCGGAGGTAGATCCTCAGGTAGCCTCATCCTGAATCTTCCGTCGAAAATACGGGGTAAGTCAGGTAAGCCCCTGTCAACTCCGCATTTACGCAAGGGAGCACCGAATGACGAAGACCAACAGGAATGAAGTACTAGACGCGACAGAAAAAAGCTTGAGGGGCAAGGACGGATGTTGCTCATCTGCAATGAACAGACAGCAAAAGGGAAGTCTATTTCCCAGCCACAAGGACATAGCTCCGCGGGATGGGAGACCGGGGTTTTGGTTGCCTGCGCATGAATCTCATGAACAAGGATGGGAAACGAGATCACACACCCCTCTTTTACGGGAATACCCTTCCGTTGGCTCCACTGGATTCGTGTGTTCCCCAAATCGTGGTGGATGTAGGACTGGGACTCGATCCTTTCGGAGGCAAAAAATACTCCTATACAAAAAGAAGCGAGTCATGTCCATCCAGATGGCGGTAGTGATCTTGATAGTTCAACTAAGGTTCAGTTCGTTGCCTTTAGTCTGGATTGGACCTCTACTGCATACAGTAGTTGGGTATGGAGTGCATAAAGACACATTCTTTTTTTTTTTTTTTTCCCTTTCTCAGTGGGGCATGTTGTTTCACTAAAATTCTTTGATGCTTATTACATTGTCGCGGCCACCTGTGTCAGATTAAATATGTGCAGGTGAGCCGTTATTTCAAATGGTCGGGAAGATCAAAGGACGTAGTAGTGTATATAGAACCTATTGGTCTTCACGCCGTACCTTACCTACCTCAGAGCTCAATCCCTGTCCCATCTCAGAGCTTTAGGATAGTAACTATTCCTAATTATCCCTAATTCATTGTCAAAGATACTACGCCAGCTGCCGGCTTTCCGTGATAGGAAATCCGCAGTGCTCATCTGATGCGCCCCAAGAAAACTAGATACGGTCATTACCATACCGTACAGCGATTCCAGAGTCGCATGGTAACTGTTCAGTAGTTTAACATTCTGCCCTTCCCTTCCCAGACACCGATCGTCAAGCTTAATCTACTGAGATTCGAATAAACAAAGGGCTTTTTCTGATAGGCGGTGGGAAGAAGCCAAGGCGTAGAAATAGAAATAGAAAGAAAACAAAAGGGAGCACTAAACTTACGAGGACAGCCCTGAGCTACACCGTGCACGACCGCACTTCCCAGTTTGTCGCCTGGCAGATGGAGTGGATTCCCCATTCCCACCGGTTTCGCATCAGCGAAACGAGGTCCAAGCACTCGGAAATTCAATCACCCAATGACGATGAGGAGAGACAGTGGAATCGCGATGGAGCTAGGAGGGGAATAGAGGTCGAGTGATACTTCGTTGAGCGGGTTGATGACGACCACCATGGAGGAGGCAGCAGCTTCAACTACTGAACTGTGCCAACATCGACTCCCGCTGTCTGTATTTTTGAATGCAATAGGAATAGTCTGTCCAGGCAACAAAGATGAGCAGAGTAACTCCTAGGAATCACCTGATACGGCTCCTTGAGTTTGGCAAGTTAAAGTAAAAGGATGGTATCTCTTCTGCAGTGGTCGGATGTCCGTGCCTTGTGCACAGGAGATCTGGCCCACTTCCCCAGATTGTCCGAAGGAATGAAAGGTTTCATTTCATTTTTCATTTTTCCTCTTTTGTTACTTCTCCCCGGTCTCTGGCTTGAGTTGAACGAACCTATGTAATACAGAAGAGAAGAATCATCCACACCATCACACAAAACGTAAGACCAGAAGTGTGAGGTAAAAAGATCTGGCAAGGACGCGACTGGTCACAATGCTCCCAGACGCAGGGAGCTTCATTCCTCAAGAGGAAAGTGGCCTGCGGTGTCGCTGCCTGGGCTTCGGCCCATCTCCGCACTGGTGAGTGACGAGACTGTGCTGGTCAGTAGCGTGGGGTGTGGCGTCCACCTGAGCCGGAGAAGTGTCTATCCTGGCATGCAAGTAATGCATACATAAGACCGGACGGGGCAATCATCGTCGTAGGATGGGTTTTGTCCGGGTTAGTGGCATTTGTTAGTCGAGGCTTTTCAGTATCAAGTTAGCACTGACAATTTTAGGTAGCTTGGTACGTACCAGCGGACAGAGTGCAGGTGGTGGTGGTGGTGGTGGTGGTGGTGAGGTATGTATGTATCGTAACGATACGGACGGATGTCCCGGAAAACCCTATATCGATCATCCACTGTAACCACTAGGCTCTGATGTCTAGATGTATCCTATCCTCGTTATTTTCTTGAGATACGGTAGTACACAGCTCGACTGAGTTGTATTGAATTGAAGCAACTTCTCTTAGTGATTAAGGAAGTTTGGATGATTATGAAGGTCGTCTTGATTCTCTCATGGTCGACTTCCTAACCATTTAATCCACCGTCAAGTGAAAACCAGTCAACTCCACCAGAATCCCAATACGGACTGTCAAATATGTACGAGCCTCAACTTGTTACTGATTATGCACTTCAAAGGCATACCCCTGGAGTTCATCCATGCCAGTTCGGACTGGCTTGGAATTATGCGTCCATCAAGTGAGAGCAACTCACTTCCCAAGAGGGTAATCAGGATCATCCGCCGTCGTCACCAATGCGATTATTTAGGTTAAGTGGGAATTTCGAGCAGTTGGTTCAGTGGGCATAATTGCTTTTTTGGCTGTGTCCATTTCGATGGACTCTGATTTGCTTTGAACAGGATTTGATCCGACTTACTGAATATTCCGTTTTCCCAATCTGATTTTCAATCCTATTATGATTTTCTTTTAGGCTTTCTCTGCCTCGCTTGGACCAACAAATCAGTAGTGAAAATCCAACAAGCTTGGCATTTTTTCTCCCCGCATGGTCAGAGTTTAATGAAGTGCGTGGTAGGAAAATCGAAATAGGAGATAAATATTCATAATAGAAATAATAAAAAATACTTCTCGTAAGTAGTAGTAGAAAAGGGAAAAATACAGAAAACGGGATCATGGATGAATCAATCATTCTTAATTTTCAAGATTAATTTCCTATTCTCTCCAATAAGGCCGCAGAATTTCTACAACTTCCTACTTGGTAATTAGTGTGGAAGTTCAATTTTCTTTTCCCTAGCTCGATAATACCTATTAATACTTACTACTCAAGGACTCCAATTGATGATCAGAAAAGAAAGTTTGCCTAGTTTGGGTGCCCTGCCTATGAGGATCCACCAGCATGCTAACCACCAGAGCACAGAGGATTGACATACTCCATACTCTACGGAGTACATGTAATTCATCTGACCCTCTCATTCTTGCCTCCAGATCCAGTGCAACGGACTCCAAATTTTATTTAGAAACTAACTCGAAAAATAAAAATCAGGGTAAAAAATATTATTACTCCTCTTTATGTATCTACCTACCTATATATATATATTTTAATACCTAATTAATATTTATTTCATTCGGGATGTTTCGTAACTACGGACCTACAGACGTAGAGAGCTAGTTCACTACTAACTACTCTTATTAAAACCCCCATTCCCATTTCCCAATTTCCCCTCTTCTCTCCACTTGCTAAATAAAATCCCTCTTCAAGCCAACCAAACGAAACGAAACGAGCAAACAACCCCATTTACCACATCCTCCGATACATGCATATAATCCACTCCGACTACTACTCAAGAGTCCCCATACGAAGATCGACCCATCCCATCAACCATTCCCACTCTGATCCACTGCAGCCTATACTTTGACTACACCTGCGAAACTAACTAAACTTACCAGACCAACATTCTCGTTGACCACCACTAAATCACAGCCAAGTCTAGTTTACTCCCCGCTCAGGGACCTCATCATCAACACTTCCAGTCTTCCCACACCCCCCCTTCTTCTCTCTCCTGTGATTAATTAAAATCACCTCTTGAACCCAGTCACAGTCAGATTCTGTACTGGAATTTTTGTTGCTGCCCCTCTTCTCTTTTCCTCTTCCTTCATCCTGACTAACAACTTCAACCACTCGTGCTGACAACTCTCTCCATCACATCCTTTTATTTCCTGCACAACCCGTTTGAGAAAGGGGGAAAGGAAAAAAAAAAAAAAATTCAAATTAAAATAAATAAAAAAAGAAAAGAAAAAGAAAAACTTTTTTCAACACCTCGAATACCGAGGTGAATGTATGGTCAATGTTGTCTATGCAAAAAAGTTCTGCTTTTGTGTTTACTCCGACGGAACTTGACAGCAACCACCGTCATCAAAGCAACTCCACCCGCTCGGGCAGTTTTTCGGAAAACCCCGCTCTCGCCGACTGTCCGTTCATAGATGACTCTTCGGTCTCCCATCGTGCCAGTATTAGTACCGATGGCCTTTCTAATGAGTCTCTCGAATCCTGGGACGGCGACGGTCGGTCTGCTAGCTCACCTGTTCCGGAACTGGAGGTGAAGATCCACGACGTGTCGCAGACGCTCCACTCGACTTTCCCTCCCACAACCGCAACATTTACTTTCAACATGGTTACATCTCACGAGTCAGATGTCTCCATGGATGACGTGACTCCCAAAATCGAAGAGTTGGACGATACAGATGAGTTGCAGAGTATAAAACCTTTGGCGGTGGATCCGATGGCCAATGCGAACTCGGAGGTCACGGCTACTCCCGTCAATGTTCCACGGAAACGTGGGCGACCTCGCAAACATCCTCTCCCGATTCCTGGAGGTCAACTCAAAATCACCAAAGGTCGTTCCAAGACAGGCTGCATAACCTGTCGGAGGCGAAAGAAGAAATGCGACGAAACCAAGCCATCGTAAATTCCCTCCCTCCCCGGTCTTCTCACAAAGGGCCTCTAGATTGTGACGAGCGCGAAAATTGACTAACTGTTCTTTGCCCCCTCTCAGTTGTTTGAACTGTCAAAAGAATGCGGTTGTCTGTGAAGGATATCCTAAGAAGGAGGTATGGAAGAGTGGAAAACAGAAACTAGAAGACGGTGAGCTCTATTTTTACCCCCTCTTTCCACTTGTCCTGTATCTGGTCTCCTTGTTCTTCTATGGTTCTATATCAACCGCCAGAACATCCTCTTCGATCGACATCCATTCTAATCCCTTTTTTTACCCACATAGCAGCCCGGGCCCAGTCTATGGTCTCTCGCTCCCTTCCCTTTTTGATTGACGGAATTGAAGACGATACCGATCGACGCTTTTTGGACCACTTTGTCTACGGATTCAGTCGTGTTCTGACATTGATCAATGATGACTCGAACCCCTTTAAGGAGATCCTCCTTCCCATGGCTACCCAACACCGGGGCCTAATGCATTCGCTTATGTGCCTATCCGGTTCACACTTATCGGGACTTAAGCCAGAGCCGAAGTTTATAGCCCGCAAATACCACCATTTCCATTGCGCTATCCAAGATTTGCAGCACAACCTTCGTTTCAAAGCGTCATCAAAACCAAGCAATTCTGGAGAGGATCCCGACCTTCTAGTTGAGGATCCAATAATCGCGTCGACAATAGCGCTCAGTTTAAACACGATATGTGAAGGTGAAACTAAGGGGGAGTACCGGATGCATATGGATGCCGCAAAGCACCTTCTGAAAAACCAGAAACCGAGGAACGAGAAATTCCGGCAGTTCATTGTTGAGTTCTTTCAATACCACGATGTTTCCAACTCGGTCACCTCACTGGACCGACGGCCGGCCCATCTAAATGGCGACCTTCGACTACCCGACTTTGTGCCACACGCACAGGCGGGGATGTTTCTAGGGGTATTCGATGGGCTCTTTAATTACATCTCCGAAGTGACCAGATTACGAGACAAAATCAGGCAGCGACACAATGAAGGATATGAGCCAGCGGTTGACTACCAGATCCTAAGTGAGGCCGTCTCCATTGACTCTGCTATCCGGCTTTGGGAAACGTCATATCCGCCCAACACTGCAAACTGGTCTCTGGCACAGCTTTATCGACAGTCAACCTGGGTGTACCTTTATCGTACTATTCGCCCTTCGCAACCAGGTGATAAGATAGGTCAAGTGGTGGATGATGGCCTGACATACTTGGATCAGCTTCCAGAGGACGCTGGCGCTTATAGCATTGTCCTGATGCCTTTGTTCCTCCTCGGATGCTCTGCGTTCTTGGAGCACCAGCGGGAGCGAATCCAGAAAGGATTCGAAACCCTTAAATCCTACTCTAACCTTCGCAACATCGAACCTGCATTCAAAGTCGTAGAAAAGGTGTGGGAAGTCATGGACTCCAACATTGAGGAAAGTTGGGATTGGGAGAAAATCATCAAAGATATGGATATGGATTTTCTCATTACCTGAGTCAACCTTCGCAATTCTCATCTGCATTACTGCATATTGACAGCGTATATCGTCTATCTGAATCGACAGTTTTGGAACGGTATCTCCGTTTCTTCGTTTTGCACTGCTCACTATCCATCGAGGAAGTGAGCACACGGCGTTATGTGACCCATGCATGCATTTTCTTTTGGTGTTATTTTTCTTGCTTCTTTTGGCGATAGGGATGGTCGGGGGGATGGGGACCCGGTGTCAAAAAATCAGGATGGGAGCACGAATCCGTGTTTCTCTACGGCTACGGGATAGGGGAATGGCGTCAGTGCATGATTAATGGCACACACAGACATGGACTACAGTATATTGTGTCTCAGATCTTTATTGGTGGGGTGTCTAAGGGCGATTGCCGGATGACTTTCAGCTTCTATTTTTGCCTGTATTCTATATATCCAGTTGTGTCGATGAGCTCTTTGTGGTTTGAGTGACTTTTATGATCTCTTCCTTTCTTTGTATAATGATCGTTGCTATGAGTGAATATTTCTATTCAATATTTGATATCAAGCGTCAACTGTATCCGTACTTTAGCCTATCAGTGAGTAATGATTATTATATTCGTACAGATATCTTGCTTAAGAGACAAAGTCTTGGAAAAGTCTGCGAATTGGAAGATTACTGAACAGAACTCATAGTGTTTCAAACTTCCGCTATTGTCACCAGGGATCATATATTTCAAATTGTTTCTTTACGGGGCTGTGTCTGTGTATAGCTATATGTCTGGGAAGAGCTATGGAAGTGATTGGCTTTCTCCTTTAGCTTCTATTTCAACTCTATTTTCATGTAGAAATCCAAATATCTACGGTCTACATCCAGGATTATTGTAACTCGTTCTCAACACACAATAACTACTCTCTTTTGCCAAGCGTCAAGCCCTTCTCTTTACATGGGATTCTTTTGCACCTTATCACTTTGGTGTAGTACACATGATCTCCATTCAACAAGAAACATGATGTTGTTATCAGACTGAGACCGTCACTCAAAACCCATCTATACTGCTTGTGGACAAACTATCGCGTCCAACGTAAGCCTTTCTCAACTGTGACATCTGTGCAGAAAGGGGACTGTCAGGGGTAATCTCATGTCGGTGCTTCTACAGTCTATACAATAGTATAGCGCTCCATTCAAAAACTTATATTGTCTGGGGCTGATATGGATTGTCCGAGTCAGATGCAACCGGTCTCTTTCTCCTTCGCGTGATCGTTATCAGCGAACAGATTATTATACTGATAGTCAGGATCGTCCGTTTCGACTGTGGGGTGTCGATTTGGGTTCGGGTTCGCCGGTCCTGGTGTGGCTGAATATAAGGGCTCGTCAGCTGGTGCCATCCTATGTTGTAGATTTGTTTCTTTGCTCCCGGTTTGAAAGAACATAGTACTACCAGTTTATCGCGTCCAACATAAAAATGATGTTCCAAATCTATCAAGGAGGAAGTTAGAAAGAGGTATGTGTACGAGTCAAACATTATACTAGAAAGATGTCAAACTATACAAATAATGTAGGAAGGTGCCGTGACTGCCACACAAACTATGCCAATGATACTTGAATGGACTTAGGATGTACTCATCCCAGATGTTGTGACATTACACTAGCCCAAAGAATTGATGGTCACATCATGGTATAGTTCGTGTCCCTTTATGCCATTACACCAGAGGGCACATGATTAGGATGATGCCTCTGTAAAAACACTAGGTAAATTCCATATGATTCTTCTGTTCATACAAAAGTTAAGGATGCATCAATAGCTTCTACCTCCATACCTATACACACATATTACCCCGCACAGCTGGCTTATCGGAAAAGAAAGAACCTTGAAAGGTTCTCCACCGGCCTTATAGCAAACAAGTCCTATCAATACCGAAGTGAACCAGGGCTGAACATCATCCTAGGTAATACTTCCAACTAGTCTCTTTGGGGTTTATGCTCCTTTAGCGCTGATACGATTAACCAACGACGATGGCCAGCTCCCCAGACCGTTGGTCTTGGCCCCGCCCGCCCGGTTACAGTAGGACTTCTAGCTTGATTACCTCTTATAATTCTCTAAGGGCCTGGCCCCCTTTTCCCTTTTATCTTCCTATTTTTATTTTTTGTTGGACACCCAAAGGGTTTGTATACCTGACAACGGTGGGGTTGGTCTGATGTGTATGGACGAATTGTTATTATGACTGCCGACGACATTTGCCCCCTGGATGACCCAAAACATGGCATCAATGTTGAAAGTTTACAAGACCTATCGGCCACTTTCAACTTATCCTTTCGCGAAGTCCAGCCCGTTGACATACACGTGAAGGATCTTTCTCTGGAAGTTGATACCTCCCCGCCGATATGGGAAACTGCCCCGTCTCAGGTATGGCGCCGTCTACGTGGAAAGACGACGACCGATGCGCGTAAAACGGTTCTGGATGGGATTGATGCTTACATGCCGAGTGGCAGTTTGACGGCGATTATTGGTAGTAGCGGATCTGGAAAGACATCACTACTCAATCTTATGGCAGGCAGGATGGGCATGAGCAAGGCCACAGTCGCAGGGACCACGACCTTCAATGGCGAGGCCAACATTGAGAGCGTTCGCAGTGCCTACGTTATGCAGGAAGATGTTCTTATTCCTACACTGACGGTCCGAGAGACGCTGCGGTACTCGGCCGACCTAAGGCTTCCGCCGCCCACTACGCAGGAGGAGCGCCATCAAATTGTGGAACAGGTTATTATGGAGTTAGGCTTGAAAGAATGCGCCGATACGCGGATTGGCACTAATATCCACAAGGGCTGCAGTGGGGGTGAGAAGAGACGCACGAGCATTGGGGTACAGATGTTGGCAAACCCATCGGTACTCTTCTGCGATGAACCGACTACTGGCCTTGACGCGACAAGTGCCTTTCAGATTGTCCGGACGTTGAAACGGCTCGCCCAAAAAGGGAGAACAGTCATCGTTTCAATCCACGCCCCCCGCTCGGAGATTTGGAGTCTGTTTGATAATGTCGTTCTCCTAGCGCGGGGGTCGGTCCTCTATAGTGGACCGTCAAGCAGGTCTTTGACCTACTTCGAAAGTCATGGCCACGTGCTTCCCCCTTTCGTCAATCCAGCGGAGTTTCTCATCGACCTTGCAGCTATTGACAACCGCACAGAGGAATTGGAAGCAACGTCCCTCGCGAGAGTTGAATCTCTCAAATCCTCCTGGAAAACTGAAATGAAGACCGACAAAGAAGTGTTGAAACCCCGGAACGATGATGAGAAGTATAAGGGGTCAACTACGCAGGCACAAGACATACCGATAGCGAGAGCTGTATCATTCAATCGGCAGTTCCGTGTCCTCACCTCCCGTACATTTAAGACAACAATTCGTGATCCCATGGGTCTCGCGGGTAGTCTCCTTGAGGCTGTCGGCATGGGTGTCATTAGCGGTTGGATCTTCTTGCAGTTGGATGAGAGCCAGGCAGGGATTCGCTCCCGACAAGGAAGCCTTTATACCTCAAGCAGTCTGAATGGATATCTCATTCTCCTTTATGAGACATACCGACTAACAATCGACATACGGCAGTTCGACAGGGAGAGAACGGAAGGCGTCGTGGGGGTTCCGGCTTTCTTATTGAGTAGACGAGCAGCGAGACTACCTTTGGAAGATCTACCTGTTCCGATTATCTTCGCTATCATTTTCTATTTCATGGTGGGGTACCGCCTGAGTGTGGGCCAGTTCTTTATTTTTCTGGCCGTCACGATCCTCACTCATTACATTGCCATAACTTTTGCAGCTGTCTCCATCGGCATCGCCAGGAGCTTCCCCGGGGCTAGTCTTGTAGGAAACCTCTCGTTTACAGTGCAATCGTTCGCGTGCGGCTACTTCGTGCAGTCGAATCAGATTCCGGTCTATGTGCGTTGGATAAAGTGGGCGGCGTATACCTTCTATATCTTTGGCGCGCTATGTGCCAATGAGTTTATTGGCCCTAACGGGCCGCCCGAAGGCCAGTTCTACGATTGTCCCTACTCCGACGATCCCAATGACCCTGCGTGCACGCAATACACGGGCCGGTATATCATGGAGAGCCTGGGATTCCCTCCTAATTGGATATGGCGGCCGATTGTAGTATTAGTGGCGTTTGTTGTTGGCCACTACCTCCTGGCTGGGATTCTTCTACAGTACAACCACTTTGCAATGGATATAGCACAAGCACGGAAGACCGATAAAGATGTGAGTACTGGGGCGGAGAAAATGGCCGTCCGACCAGCGGAGGAAGCGCGCAAAGTAGTCATCTCACTAGACAAATATGCTCTTGACATACGAAAACGGGGCCTTTTCGGGCGAGGATCTCGAACATTGCCCATCCTCAAGCCCATCACCGCAGAGTTCCGGCCAGGTAATCTGAATGTGATTATGGGCCCCTCGGGCAGCGGGAAGACGTCGCTCCTCAATTCTGTTGCGCGACGACTACATGGTTCCTTGAGCACACAGTACCGGGTCCATGGCAATATGCTATACAATGGGGCTGTTCCCTCCGAAAGCGTCATCCGGTCTGTCACGTCGTTCGTGACCCAAGATGACGACGCATTGATGCCGTCACTAACAGTGCGCGAGAGTCTTCGCTTCGCGGCGGGACTACGATTGCCCCTCTGGATGTCACGAGAGGAGAAGAACCGCCGGGCAGAAGAGGTTCTGCTCAAGATGGGGTTGAAAGAGTGTGCCGACAATCTGATTGGGAGCGAACTCATCAAAGGAATCAGCGGCGGAGAGAAAAGGCGCGTCACGATCGCCATTCAGATCCTGACCGATCCGAAAGTGTTACTGCTCGACGAGCCCACTTCAGGCCTGGATGCTTTTACGGCCATGTCCATCATTGAGGTTCTCAAAGGACTCGCCGAAGAGGGGCGCACTCTGGTCATGACTATCCACCAGGCCCGGTCGGATTTGTTCCAACATTTCTCCAGTGTCCTGCTTCTTGCGCGAGGGGGTTATCCGGTGTATGCGGGCGACGGCTCAACGATGCTGTCGCACTTTGGGGCACTGGGATACCACTGTCCGCAGACAACTAACCCAGCCGACTTCGTGCTAGACCTGATTACGGTGGACCTACAACAAGTAGACCGAGAAGCGGTGACCCGCGAAAGGGTCCAGAAGCTCATTCTCAGCTGGGATCACAAGACTTTCGATCTTGGACGGCGAACATCTCATATCGCTACACCCGCCGAACTGGGCAGCCTGAAGCGACAGATGCTCCCATTTCGGATCACGTACCCCTTGGTGCTGCACCGGTCAGCGATCAATTTCTGGCGACAGCCACCGCTCGTCATGGCACGGTCAATGCAGGTAGTGGGGATTGGAATTATCATGGCCCTGTTCTTTGCGCCCTTAAAGAACGATTACGCCGCGGTGCAATCACGGATGGGCTTCATCCAGGAGTTTGGCGCCTTGTATTTTGTGGGTGCGTTGGGACCCCCTTACCTACTCCTTTAGTTAAACTTGCATGTATAGACTAACAAAAAACCGGGCAGGAATGCTTCAAAACATCGCCATCTACCCCAACGAACGCGATGTGTTCTACCGCGAGGAGGCCGACCATTGTTACTCGGCTGAGACATTTATCCTGCAGTACACCACGCTGGAGGTGCCCTTCGAGGTGGTGTCGTCCCTCATCTTCGGCGTCCTGTCGGCATACGCGGATAACCTCGGGCGCAGTGCCACGATGTTCCTTATTAGTGCGTACAACTGTTTCTGCATCGTCAGCTGCGGTGAGTCGCTGGGCATCATGTTCTGCACGCTCTTCTCGCACGTTGGGTTCGCCGTCAATGTGACGTCAATCTTGCTCTCCATCGCGAACATCTTAGGCGGTGTTATGAGCTTGAACGTCAACAAGGTTCTCCAGGCGCTTAACCACCTCTCGCCCGTCAAATATGCCGTCGCCAACCTGGCACCCTATGCTATGCGGGACCAGGAGTTTGTGTGTACGGCGGCCCAGCGATTAGCGGATGGAAGCTGCCCCATCCAGAACGGACAGCAGGTGCTCCAACTCTACAACCTCGACAAGAACGGGGCGATTAATGTGATGGCCTTGGGTGTTTGCACGATAATTTATCGGGTGGTTGCTTACGGGCTGGTGAAGGTGATGCGGTGGGAAAGGAAATAATAGCAACATAGGTACTTAGTAGATATGATATCATCCGTCCAATAAAAATGAATCCGCGGAAGTAGTCGGTCGACATCCGAGCGATGGATCTCAGTATGTGTAGGGGCGAATGAGAAGACAATGAGATACGGCATTTGCTCGGACTTCTGTCTGTCGAGGGAGAAGTAAAAAAGAGAGAGAGAACACTGCCTCTTCTTGCCACCGAGCCATTTTCTTCGTCATGGACGACGGTCTAGACTCTGCCGTGTCTGTGCGAGGCCACAAGGCAGCACAAGAACAAAGCAACAACATCATCAAGTAAAAGCAACAAAATTACAAAACTCACGATCAAAGAAAATAAAGATTATGTTCAATCCCACGGTCAAAAAGAGAAAAAGAGTTCCTGAACCCCTCCTCCTCAAACAACACCTGAAACACACATCCGACGTTTTCCATTGGAAACCTCACCACAAATCTTGAAAAAGCAGCGGGAGAAAAAAGCCCCAAAACCCAATGAACGAAACGAACACCAATCACAGAACAATTCCCCTAAGCCCCCATTTCCAATCGTCCAATCAAACCATGCCAACTGCTTTCACATCCAGTTGTACTTCTGCTCCACTCGTTTAACCAATTAAATCATACTTAAAAAAGTGGTACCTTACATAAGCTCTGCGGATTTGAATCGACACCAGATTCCTAAAATGCTAATTGGCCGACATTCAACCGCCTTGAATCTGAGATTCAGTTCAACAGTTTTTCTTGTCTACCTAAGGGTCCAGTGGATCCTCGATCCACTGTGGCTGTTTTCTTTCTTGTACTCCGTACAGTAAAATTCCCTCACATTCAATGTCTTAGTCTTAAGTTTTCCTGGGATTTCCTTGGATTTCCAAGGAATGTGATTGGATCCTCGCCTTGCTGGCTGAGAAAGAGAGATTGTGTTGAGAACGACGTAAGGCGAAAAAAAAAAAAAAAAAAAAAAAAGGACCCCTAGTCCATTACAATGGATCTAACTTCCCGGTTCCCCGGTACACGAGTTCAGTACTCCGTAGGATTGGCAACGGCTTCCCCCATGTGATTCGAAACACAGTAAGTTAGTTGTTGTGTTGTTTCTGCATCTTGGGTAGACAATGAGAAATTGAACGAGTAATTGAGGGAGTCGTGTCCGGTGGCCGAGATTTCCCGGCGGGAGGAAAAATCCTGCGTGTTGATGATTGAGTCTGTGAGTCATGGATTGTTGGGCTGCTGCTTTTTACTAGTTAGTTAGCAAGGAACTTACGTGGCGTGCTTTGATTTTTCTGTTGGTTTGGAATCGAAGGGTCATTGATCGATTATTTGTATCTATTAATCATCAATTGATTATCATTCTTACTTATTCAGACGCATCAATTAATCATCACCTTTATTAAAAAAAGAATAAAATAAAAGACTACAAGGAACTTTACTTGAAAAAAACCAGAAATATAAGCAAAATTTTTTTTATAATCTAGAAAAGTCTATTCTATAGCAACGTAATTCTGACATCCACGTGAAATTCGTGATCGTGATATCTAATCACTCCTGTATCTTAGATACATGAAGTCATGAATAAAGAGAGAGAGAGAGAAAAAAAAAAAAAGCAAAAGCAAGCCAAAAGAGAGTGAACACTCATCCAGGAGTCAGCTCTGTCATGGTGGTATCACAATCTTGCATCAAGCAAGTCCATTTCTGGTTTTTTTCCTTTCCCAATTTCCCCGTAACCGTACCGAACTCCGTTGCCCATATTCATCGTGGGAATCATATTTACCGTAAAGAGAATTCACTCTTGGCAAAGACAAACAGCAATAGCAATGTAGCGAAAGAAAAAAAAAAAAGAGCGTAGTCAAGTCATCTTATATTCTCTTGGGCAGAGAAGAGAAGAGAATAAAAAAGATGCTTAGTTGCCAATGCTGACACTGAAGGAGGTGTCGATGGGGCAGCCGTGAGTAGCATGGTCATCGTTGGGCTTGAGGTAAGCCTCGGCGCAGGCAGTGTCGCCGGCAGCACAGTTGACAGAGGGACAGTTGTCGCTAGTGCTGGACGGGGTGACGGAGAAACCGTACTTGGTGAAGACGTTCTCCCCGCTGAGGTCGATGCAGCTCATATCCCAGTAGATGGTGTCGCCGGACTGGGTGTACTCGAACTGGAGCACGTTGGTCTGCTCCTGAGTGTTGGACAGCTTGATGGAGATGCCACCACCGTTGTCGTTGGTTTGCCAGGATTCCTGGTAGTTTCCACCGTTCGCAGAAAGGGTATGCATGTTACTGACTCTATCAGAAACAGACCACGCGTAAACGGTTTCACCCAGGTTGTTGACGATGTTGACACCGCCGCTGCGCTTGACAGGGTTGGCAGTGGGGAGAGCAGCGGTGAGGCTGGCAAGAGCGGCCAAAGTGATAGTCTTGGTGAACATCATTTTGAATGTGGGGGTCTTTTTGAAAAGGAAGGAAAAAAAAAAGACTGTTGATGAGATTGTGTTGATTGTGAAAGATTTTTGAGTTTTTGTAAAGTCAATGAAGTCAAGAGATTGACTGGGCCTGTTCTACAGACGCAAGGATGGAACTTTTTTTGAAGTAGTTGGTAAAAGAAGGACGAGATTAAATCTCGAAAGGAAGGACAGACAGAGCTTGTCTAGAGAATGTATAAGAGAATGTCGATGGTTGAAGAAGAAGAAAAGTCGATTTAGGATGGACATCCTCAGGGTTTATATAACTTTTTGAGCAGGCATCATGGCGGCAATGATCTCCAACTGTCGGTACCTGACAGACCGGTAAAGTCTGGAACGAGAAGAAAACTCTAGAGACAGAAAAAAAAAAAGACCCACAGAAGTACCCAAACAAGACTGTAGAATGGGTCCATTCAGGGGACTAACTCTGGTTCGCTGACATGACGTTCAAAAAGGTTGTACCTGACATTGAATACATGGTTTGAGTTCGACGCCACGGGGGTTACTGAACTTTACTGGGACCAAACGTGGAGGGAACTTAGTGGAAAATGAACTGATACTCCGGCATTGTACAACGGGATATAGTACCGTCCCTTTGGGCACTCGGTTGTGACTCGTCCACCGCCGCGGGCTTGCTGCAATAGCTGTCGCGCTGACAGGTCCTGTCCCACACGCTTTACTCGTCGATTTGAAAACGAGATTAGATTTTGTCGATCCGACAGCTCACACCGTCGAGATTCATACCCGATTTACTTTCTACGAGGGGTTCGACACTGCGGTTGACAACGATTACTTGCATACAGTCTGTAGCGGAGAACCACAATGGGTGCACTTGCCATCAGCTCCAATTCCCCTTCCACGCTTCCGTTTCCACTCTTCGGGATCCAGACTTGAGCAGGATCCAGATGAAATCAGCGCGTCCCATTCGATCCTTGTTGATCCACCCACTTCTTTTCCCCATCGAGAAACCCTAGGTCGTGGCTGAACAAAAGTATGCGTGGAAATAAAGATTTCTAAGAAGTATTCTGTGGGAATACCATCAACTGATCAAGCAGAGGAAGTGGCAATACGCTCGGCCAGCCCTAACCCTGGTTCCGACGAAGGCAAATAAAGGATGTCAACCACGGAGCCCTTCCGAACAGAAGACCGTGGCTTTTCAGTCTTTCGAGAAGGCTGCCTTAATGAGCAATGAACTCTCCATTGAGAATTCTTTACATTTCTAAGCTGATTCCCATGGTTCGCCTTACCTATTATTGGTCTTGCGTGGAGAGAAAACGAGGGGTTAATTGGGGGTTCGATCTCTCTCTGTCCTGTGGTCCGGTTCTCGGGAGAGACGTCGCCATGTGCAAATTTTCATGGCTCTAGTAGCACCCTTGGCGAGGACGGAGGTTTTGGCTGAAAGGGAAAAGACGACGAGCTTTCCAAGGATAACAAGTCATGGGTACTCGAGAATATGTGTATTTTCTTCTTCTTTTTTTTTTATCGTCATTCTTTGTCACTTTGTTCCGAATTGCTGCCACGCCTTAACACACAGACCACGATCCACTCATTGCCAAGCGCCTGACTTGCCTTTCTCACCCACTTTAGTCCCCGAAGTTTCCGCGACGATCTCATTATGGGCTCATCGTCGCTCGACTAGTGTGTAGTCTATTATTCTTGGGGAGTTCGGTTCGGCGTTCTAGACTTTTGTAGGGATTTCTTGTCGGTGGTCCACTGCGTTAACTTTGGGCCCTCGCTACAGCGCTCTTTTTTTTGCTGTCCTCGTGCTGAAAACAACGCCTTTAAAATTAAATCTCGCTCCAAGAAATACGGACCAGGGAACATCAACTTCTGTGGTATACTAGCGCATAACTCTCACTCGAAAGCGACCAAAATACAGAGTAAAAAAAAATATCAACGGAACAATGAAATTTGGGGTAGTCTAATATGATCACCAGTATGGAGCGCGGAGACCGGCGAGACTGGTCAATGACCCCTCGGCAGACGTATCCTCGCGCTTGCGATGACCCGCTAGCTCCAAGTTGATTTGCCGATGGATGTGTACCAGCCAATCCACGTAACTCTGCGCTTCATTGTTGCGGTCCTCCACCAGTAACCGTGCGAACTCATACTCTGCCCCATCCAGCCCTTGTCGAGCCAACTGGATTGCAACTGACTTGGACCCTCGGATAGTCGAGAAGTACTGCAGTAGATTGCGCACCTGTGCATTCAAATGGGTCTCCAACACAGGGAGCGACGATGTCTGGGGGTTGAGTTCCTGAAGTGACGACTGCCCAGGACCAAAGAGATCCTCCAGCAGGTTGGGTGATACCCGAGAATGGAGCCACAACAGACAGATCTGGCCATTGTCGACGAGGTATGCCCCACCATCCTCAATCTTCGAGAAGCTGGCTCGAAGGGACGGTGGGACCTGCAGTTGCCCTTGCTCATTGGGGAAGCCATCTTCGGGTTGCATGTTGTGGATCGGAATGATCCGGGGATACAGGTATAGGGAGAGTTCTGTGGCCCCAATCGAGCGTAGCATCCGCATGTCGTGAATACGTCGGTCCGATGCTTCTTGGCCGCCTGTGTATTCAGGTTAGCCACTTTCATGTGTAATTCGGATGTAACCGTTCCTACCCTTGAATGCCCGTGATTTGACCAAGCCCAGCATATACATGGAAAATTCCTTGAGATTCTCCGGGAGTACAAGTTGTCCGGGTGGGTGTGACCCAGAGAAGACCTTGCGATAGCCGCTGAAGATGTCCACGGTCTTCTCTGTAATGCTGGCCCGAATGTCCTTGAGCGATTTGTCCACGGTTTTGGCAGCCGCTGTGGTTAATAGTGTCAGCACGTCTGCTTCGAATAACACCGCTAGGTCGTTAGCTTACCCTCTTTAGCCATAATGCTCACAACAGCATCCTGATCTACGAATTTCATCGTTTCCAAGCCCCCTTCATTGACTGCTGCCACCACGTTGATACAGCGCACCCGTCGCTGCCCTTCGGCCGTAGTATACAGCAAGGCGGCTTGGAAATGTGCATCCAACTTAGGATCAAGCTTGCCATCATAGCTGAAGATGACACCAATCGCTTTGTCGGCGTCGATGGACCCTATTTCCAGATCGGCCCCGAGCGCATGTTGTATAAAGTTGCCATGATATGCCGATACCTGGAGACCGTTGGAACAACGGACCTTCATCATTGCCTGATAGCCTGTCTCGCGAGTAACTGCATGTGCGAACTCTTGCGAAAGCTTCAGTATGTCTCGTGGGGCGTGGAAGTTGGGGTAGAAGAATGTCTCCCCGCCCGATACTTCGGCGACATGGCCTAGAAAGCATTAACATCCATAGATTCAGCGGCAATAAAAATTGCAGAAGACCTACCTATCGTAGCCACATCAATATACGTCCCGCCAGGTGCCGCCACGAACATGTCAACGCCGATGCCGTGTTCGGCCATCTTTCCAGCGGTTGTTCTCCATGCCTGGTTGTCTGTGGTGAATAATTTCCGTTCCGCATCCGTGCCATGCACTTTAGGGTCGTCCCTCATATGCAACGCGCCGGGGCCCCAAGTGGGTAAGCTGCATATAGACGCGAAAATCTTTCCACCGGTAGCTTGCAGAGCAGACATCGCCGCATTGAGAGCTGGGAGTAGAGCTGGCTCGGGTTTCTTCATGTGTGAGAACATCTTCGGGATTTGACGTAGCAGAGAAGTAATGATATCCCTATGGATAGATGTTAGATATGTATTCATCGAACCGTACAAGGATTGTTTGCGTACTTTGATTCGTAGGGATCTACGAACAACCCCTCGCTCAAAGGAACGAACGGCTCCTCCAAATCCGTCATTACCATCATCTGTGCCTGATCAAGCTGTGCCTAGGCATTGTAAGTATCATCGCGGGGACTTCAGGCACATGAGGACTCACGCTGAGATTGTAAAAGTGCACTTCTCTATCGTAGGTGACAATACCAATCTTCGAGCCCTCAGGCACTCGTCGCGCTGCTGTATCCTCTTCGGAAGCATCAGGCGTGCCGTATAAAGCTTCTGTAATTCCTTTGCACACCCCCTTCAGAAAACCCCTGTTTACCGATTCTTGACTGACGTCAATCAAGAAAAGCCGCTGAAGACCAACAGGCTCCTTGTTCCAGTACTCCTTCGGGACCATGAACTCAACTGTGCCCACCATCAATTCCGGGCGTTGCAGACGGTCGACACGCGACCCGGACATATCCAGAGGAGCAAAGTATTCTGGTGCTACATCATTGGGAAAGGTGCACATGTTACAGACAAACTTGTTTCCTCCGGACTTGAACGTCATAAAGGGATTGATGTACGCCCTGCACCTCCGGCATCGCGGAGGACCCATTTCGCCAAAATCGAGCACTGGGACCTCCGGCTCGCCGGGGTCGAGGCGAGCCAGTGGTTGTAGAACCATTCCTAGGGGCAGAGCGGTGGAAGAGAGAAAGTCGGAGGTGGTGGGAATGTTGTTCAATGTCAGGCGGGCATGTTTAGGGGATGAGTTTCCTTGATCGTGGGCCACGAAGGGGACCGCTGCAGGAGGGGGCAGGTGCCGTTCCATCGTCGGATAGACATGGCTGAAGTAATACTGTGCCGGTATATCGCGAGACCGGGGGATGCTTGGAATCTGCTCCGGATCAATCTTGCCCTGGGTAGGGACTGAACCAGCGCCTGTGGCTGGAACACCTGGCTGAGGGACAATCCCCGCTGGCGGAACACCAGCGGCGGGTGAGATCGGACGGGGTGCCTGGTTCAACCCAGTATTCAGGAACTGAGATGAAGGCTGCATGCCTGCCTGCGGCATTCCGGCAGATTGCATAGGCGCAGAGGCACTAGCTCCCCCAATGTCATGGTGCGCATGTCGGTGCTTCTTCTTCCCTGGACGGGCACCGCCATCTCCCATTATTCCCAAGCCACTCATCTGTGAAGCCAATCCTGCCATTGGGTCCGCGGGTGCTCCCATATGTGTCTGTGTCTCGGTACCGTAGGCGAGTTGAGGACTAGGTGCCAGGCCCCGCGGAGGTGGAGATTGCAGCTGCTGTGATGGTGGTGCTGCAGCAGGTGCCCCATACTGATTGGGAGGAGGGTTCCCGTAGTAAGCCCCAGGCTGGGGAGGGTAAGGACCGGGGGGAAACCCGGCAGCAGGTTGTGATTGTGGAGGAACTTGGTGAGCCATTCGATTCGGATTCGAGGGGTCTTCAGCGGGAGCGGTTCCCTGACCGAGCGTGTTATACATTGATTGGTCTGCCATAGTGCTTCATTATTTTGTGAATAGATTCAAGAAAGGAAGGATGGAGGAAGGTAGGTCTTTCGCAGCCCACGCCGATTAGCACCGGACCATCACTGAAAGGAGCTTCGGCGAAAAGGGCGACAAGTACGGAGTATATCCAAACAAATCCGTTAACCCAATCAAGCAACTGACCACCTAATCTGAAGCCGACGGACATATGTTGTTCCGAAACTGGCACGGGGCATGCTACACCCTAATCAATCTAATCGCAACCCAAAAGAATAGAAGATTGGGGAGTCTAGATATGAAAAGATGAATTCAATGGATATTTTGGATTGATTCGTTCAATTTAATCTCCGAGGGTAGTGATCCAGAACGGTCTGTCTCCCTTGCTGGGCTTATCAATATTGTACAATGCCACGATAAGCCC